CATTTTTCTTATGTTTTTATGGTATGTTTACGTGTTACTGCAAGGTGACCTTGAGGGTCTGAAAGGCGCCTCTAAATAAAATGTATTATTATTATTATTATTATTACAATACTAGCCAGTTATACAGTAAGCTAACAATATGCCTGATAATATTTGGATAGAGCGTCCTTAAAATCGCACTTTCTCCTTGATTATATTCTCACATCCTATAATAGTTTATTCACTAAGCATCAGAGTCTAACAAAGTTATATCGACTTCAAAGAACGTTTTATTAATACCAGCTAACAGCAGATAACAGATGCTAACAGAGGCTAACATACGCTAACAGAGGCTAATTGTTTTAAGTCACTTCTTAAAATCCACTTGTTTTGATTGGCCACAGTGTTTGACTGGGAGTTGTTTTTGTATTGTATAATGTATAATGTTAAGTACTATTCTAAAGCGCTTTATAACTAAAAGTTAGCTTGGTTTGGCTAACTATGGCAAAACAGCAGCACCTGCTGACAGAAAAGTTCTCAACAACTCACCTCAATATTATTGTCATTTGTCAGAAGTGAGCTGCGCTGACTCTTTGACTTCTTTCACAAACTTTTACAGCATCCTCCCAAATAAACAGACATAGACGCTTCCAGCACTGATAGCTGAGGTAAACGGTGGACTGACAGCCTTTCACAGATAGTGGCAAAACTTAGCTTTGCTAAATACACTCAGAGATTTTATGGTGACTCTGGGGTTATAGTGTTAAATACTGCAAAATCATTAATGGATTATATATGTGTTTTTTATTCCATGATTTATTGTTGATATAATATTATTACAATTTGTTGAAATATAGCATGTAAAAAAGTAGCAAAACACTCTAACCGGCTGTGTCCGTGATGGGGCACATCTTTTTGGTTTTGGCTGCCAAAAACATGTTTGTCCTACATCAGCTACCATAGCTAGGATTATGTGCTTTAATTGGGAGGGACAATCTGCAATCTATTAACATCTCAAGGGGAAAATGTTACGCTCTATAACTTTAAGCACATTTTCTTTTTAAATTTACTCCTTCCGATTCAGCAGAAAACATGAGAAGACAATACTGGGAATTCACTGGCATTCCTCTTTAAACAATTATATCATGGTGGTCATATTATGGTGCAATTCTCCGGTTGCTGTGTAAGTCAGTAAGCTACATTTATGGATATGTAAGAAGCAACAAGAGGGTGACCCTTCGAGTCATTTTACATGTGGAGTGAGTGATGTCATACATGTCATTAGGGATGTTTTATTGTTTCTTTGTTGTTGATTGTGCAGGAGACCTGATCGCTCTGAAGGAGAAGAGCTTCTCCTTACAGGAGGGAGTGAAATACAGACTAAAGATACACTTCAAGGTAAGTTGGAAAGATACAGTCACACAGGATATATTAAGGATGGCGAGCCTTAGTGTGGGTTACTCTGTGTGTGTGTGTGTGTGTGTGTGTGTGTGTGTGAGGGATGGAAACAAACAGATGGGAAGGTATCTACTGGAAGTGATTAAGAGGTGGAAAGGGAGACACAGTGCTGAGTAAGCCACCACGTGCTATAAAATCAAACCACCAAAATCAAAGCAGACCATTATCTTTTTTTAATGGGCTTTTTCAGTGCTGCTTAATTTTATAGTGCTTGTAAAGCTTCATGCTGGAGCTGAAACCCTTTTAATGCTGTGGAAATAAGACTCGGTGGGAGTTTTCACGTTATCAGCTGTCTTCGTTACGTGAACACTGAGAGGCCAAGGGCAGAACTGCAGAATATGGCAGTTTGCACCAAAAGGCAAGACGTTTTTATACTGTTTACAGACAGCTCATTGCAAGAGTCTGTCCATTTTGATTCTTTGCTGGCGGTGGATTAGAGGTCACTTATGTGGAGCCATTGGAGGAGCACACTCAAGGTTGTGATCCACTCTGACACACTGAGGCTCAAAGGAAGGATACACGCAATAATTTCTCAGGGAAGATTTGTCAGTTTCTTTTTCTCCGGAGCCCTTTCATTAGCTTCCTTTCTGTCACTGCACTCTGCTACACATTTAATGCTTTCGGGGGATTTTCCACTTCAACAAACTCTTCCAGTTTCATGTTTTTTTCTGGGCTTTTATCTCTCTTGAACTATTTTCTCTTCTAACTGTATTAGCTGAATGTTCCTCTTTGTGGAAGCCCATTATGGTTTACCCAGACATATATGACACTAACAGCTCCATTTTCATATGTAACCACATTTGAAGACATGCATCAGTCTCATAGTGACCTCTCCTCAGTTATACTCTAATGCACAAAAACTATCAATACATATTGT